TTCTGAGTTCTCCGTGGTTTGATTGAATCTCCCACTTCAAGGAAGCAGCTTAGGGTAGTACGTGGGCTTAAAAGGCTTCGAGTTTTACTGTATCGCACTCTCTTCCAAAGCACGCTCTGCATCGTGCCTATAGTCTCCATTGTAGTTCCTTTTTTTGGTTTAACCATTTCTATATTAGGGATCCTAGAAGGTATCCCCAAAAAGGAACTACAATGGAGACTATAGGTGCCCTACAGCCGCAGAGTCGAGTCAGCGTCCAAGATCTGAACGTATCTGAATCCTACCTGGACCCCAAAAGTATGGGGTTTAGGGTTTAGGGACCCCAGAAGTATGTAGAAGAACGGCCTTTTGTGGGTATTGGGCCATTATTTTCCCTATTTGGGGGGGTTTAAGGTAAACCCTAAAACCCCAAAGCGCTAAACCCTAAAACCCCGAAGCCCTAAAACCATCTAGAACCCTGAAACGCAAGGCCCCAACAACCCTGCTTGCCTCCGGCTCCAATGTTTGGAACTGCAGGCTTGAATTATGAATTCTATGACTTAGAAGGGCCCCCACCCTGTAATAGTGGTATAATAGGAATATAATAGGGCCCTAATATAATCCTTATAGTCACTGTTACAGGATGGGGGCAGCTTCTAAACTGCGGGGGTGAGAAGGCTTGAGCATTTGCAGCAACGGCCTTTTTTGCAGTCACAAAACCGGACTCTCGGAGCGCCGATCCTCCTCCGGACGATATTAGTTAGGCTTTAGGTTTCATGCCTGCTCCGGCTTTCAGGTGTTCCTTCGGGTTTTGTTGCTTTTGTTTGGCGGGTTCAGAGGGGTTCATGGCTGAAGCTCTTAATGTAGGCACCTGATTAAGAATCCCTGGGCCTATTACCCCAAAACAGTAGGATTCACATGAGGAGCTGAGGAGCCCTAATAAAGGCCCAAGGTTTCTTAATCAGGTTCCTACATTCTTATATTACCCTCATAGACCCCTTATAGTAACCCTTATAGTAACCCTTATAGTATCCCTTATAGTATCCCTTATAGTATCCCTTGTGGACTCCGACAAAATCAGCCCGGTTCCCACATTACGCCTGGGACCTCAAGGCCCAGCCCTAAGATTCGAAAAGCCGAGGTTAATCATGCATCGCAAAGCCAAGGGGGCCGTGGATGCACCCAGTTTAGTGCCTTGCCTGACGAAAACTCGCAGCCTTCAATCAACTGCAATCGCTCGTTCAGGTTCGGGGCTTGGCTCATCGATTTGGAGTTTCGGTCCAGGTCTGTTTAAGGCTGGGCCGGGATTCGGGGTTGGTTTCGACTGTTGTGATGTTTGCAGCTGCAACGGCAGCCGGCCACCGAAATGTGTGTTATTGCAGAGGTTCAGCTGGTATAGTAGTTTAATATATAGACAAAGCCCGCTTGTGTAATGTACTGCTCAGGGCCTGCTATGGAGGCAACCTTTTGTGCCTCAATCTGTCCGCCGCTGGACATAGCGGAGCATGGGGGGATTGAACATCTGTGTTTCCTCCCTTCAGATCTTCAAACCTAGGTGTGGTGCGCTGGCTGTTTCTGTCGGTGGCGCACCACCCGAGCCAGCAGGCACAACGTCGTAGACAGTGACGCCCGAGTCCATCTTGAGTTGTCATCATACCGCTTCTGAGCAACTCTAGCAGCACGTTGCATGAACTTGCCGTTGTGTTGCCCCGGTTTGATGATTGGTTTCGTGCATAGCTAGGTGGGTGTTGCAGACTTGCCGTCTGACTGGCACAGTGGCAGTTTAAGATATCAGTGACACGAGGCAGATCGTGTTCAACCTAAAGGTTTTTTTCAAGAAATAATCAAATAGGCTGCAATCCGTCGTTTTCGCAGGGAGTTGGTTCATAGTTCAATCTCTTCGAGATCGATGCACAGCCGGGCGAGCCTCTGCACCTCAGTGCATTATTGCTGCTCTGCGTTGCGGGTCTTGGACCGGTGTTTGAACCGAACTCCCAATAGATTGTTAATCTTACAGCTCCAATTTCCTGCGTGCGATATGCTGCACTTGCATGCCGTGGCTTGGCTCGATCAGGCACGCCAAGCTTACGAGAGACACGCTCGTCGTGAGCATGTTGCTTTGCCGGCACGAGATCTAGCTGATTTTGGGAGGGGGTAGTAAGTAATCATTATCGCTGACACTGCTATTCATTTACCGTTTGCCATGCTGACCTTACGATCATCAGTTGCCACAAGGTTTGAGTAATATTCGTATTCTTAGTCCGATAGGTTGGTATTTTTCTTACTCTTACTCTTGTTCTTGTTATTGCTCTTGTTCTAGTGCTTGTTCTTGCTATTATGATTCTAATTGTTATTTTCACTTCTAGTAATTAGTAATTAGTTTGTATTCTTCTTGTCTTCAGCATCTTTGCTTTATTTGTTCTTGTTGCTATTGCTGTTGTCTCTAAACCCTAAACCTTAATTGGGCTATGAAATCGTAGCTGCTGTTCAACCCAGATTCCCTGCAATGCGGGCTTCGTCCTTGCAAGGTAGGGGGCAAAAAATTGGGCGGACAGACGAGAGCCGTCTAACAAGTGGGAGCTGTCGACGCCCAGTCGGACACTAAACCCTAAACCCTAAACCAACGTAAGGCGCGTTCAAGATGGGTTGTAGGGTTGAGGGGCTTTACGGGTTGTCGGATTCAGAGCTATAGGGGTTACCTATAGTCTCCATTGTAGTTCCTTTTCTGGGTTCCCTTATAGGATCCTTAATATATAATTGGTTAAGCCAAAAAAAGGAACTACAATGGAGACTATAGGTAGGATTGAGGGTTTACAGGGCCTTATGATTTAATCCACGCCTTTGAATAGTAGATACTCTTGGACTTAAAAGTTTTAAGTCAGGAAATCCAGGTTTTTCACTAAAGACAAACCCCCGGAATTAAGAGTTTTAATGGGTAAAAAAATGCGTCCCTTAAGCAATTAGAAGACCAGAAACTTACTACTTTATTGCAAATAATAGAGGCTTTAAGGGGCAAAAAATGCGTCCCTAAAGCAATTAGAAGACCAGAAACTTACTACTTCACTGCAAATAGAGGCTTTAAGGGACAAACAAATGCATCCCTTAAGCAATTAAAAGACCAGAAACTTACTGCTTTACTGCAAATAGAGGCTTTATGGGGCAAACAAATGCATCCCGTAAGCAATTACATAGAAGGCCAGAAACTTACTACTGTATACTTAATTACTGTAATTACTGCAAATAGAGGCTTTCGGTGTAAAAAAATGCATCCCTCAAGCAATGAGAAGACCAGAAACTTACTGCTTTACTGCAAATAGAGGCTTTAAGGGCAGAAAAATGCATCCCTTAAGCGATCAAAAGACCAGAAACTTCGGTAATTGGATTACACGCAATTACTTCGGAGGGGCACAGAAGTCTTTCGCACGTAATACCGTGCCTCCCTTCAACAGACGGGCTGCTCCCGCAGGGGCATGCTCTCAAGCCTGGGGAAACAAAAAAAAGAGAGAGAGAGAGAGAGAGAGAGCCCTGTATGCCGTGAGGTTGGAGAAGAGGAGGTGAGCTTGTTCTTCGCCTTGGACCACGAGGGGAGATGCGGGCTCAGCTTCGCAGAACGACGTCTGTCTCGAGGTATCATTCCGGAACGAAAGCGGCACCCATGTACAAGGTTTTCAGTAGGATGCTTTCTATGTTATTTTGTCTCCGGGCTTTGTGAGCCCTAACTAAATCATCAGAGTAGCTTGTGTCGGCAAATCCCAGCGAGTGTCTGCCAATCGCGTCAGAAAACCAGCAGCTGCTCGCACCCTAAACCCCGAAAGCCCTAAACCCTAAACCAAAAACTGGCGGCCAAGCAAGCAGTCAACCACCTAGAAGCCCCAATCTATAAAATAGGTCGTGGAATAATTACTCATACTTTTGTTTTTTTGAAGGGGGGGGCTCGTTCCTTCAAAGGGTTCTTTAATAACGGATCCATACTACGGTTCTATGGTATAGGGGCCTAAATACCTATACTGTTTTGGTGGCTCCTTCTTATAATTATAGTACAATGTGCCCCAAAACCCTATTCTCCCCGAAACCCTCGTATGTCCGATCCACCGCCCCAAAACCCTATTCTAATTATTAAGGGCCTAATCAGTAATCCGAGAGCCGGTTATGGAAAACAAAAAACCGAAGTGAGCCTGCAGTACCTTTCTGTTGCACCCACAAGTAGTTGCGCGCTAGTTTGCGTTAGTGTCTGTACATCTCCAGAGATGGATTGGACATATTTGACGCTCAATTGTCGGGCAAGTTTACACTACATTTCCGGGAGTATGTCGTTGCATTAGAGGTGCTGCCGTCGCATGGCACTTCCTTGCTGTTTGCCGTTTCGGGCTGGACACTTTCGATAGTGGCTCTGGGGTTTGCTGACTCGACGGTGCTGCTGATGACTTGCATCCGGCCTGCTTGCTGATTCTATCCCTGATGCTTTTGACTCTCTTTGCTGATTCGGACCCTGCACAAAAGTTCAATCATGCTGTCATCGTAGGGTTCACACAGACCTCAGAGCGGTAACAGTCATGCCTGGCTGAAACGGTTGCCAGATGCTGCAAGCTCCAGCACATTCCTCAAACCTAAACCTTAATCAATTTGTATGTAAACCTGAAAGAACGTAAATATTAAAACCCTATACCCCTACAGAAAGCCCATTCTTAAGCGCTAACCCCTAAACACGGACCTCCAAACTCTAATCCAAACGCATCCGCAGGAGTCTGTGTAAGCTTGCAAAGCAGCGTGCCGTCGGTCAGCTCGACCACTTTTAGCGGCCCCTAACAGCGGCCTAAATGATTTCGTATACTTCTGTGGGGTATTTGTAGTATAATTTGCCCCAAAACCCTGTTCGAATCATGAAGGGCCCCTATGTTACTACCCAGAGGCCCCAAAGTAGTTCTTTTTTGGGATTACCTTATAGGATTCTATACATGAACCTCAAAAAGGAACTACTTTGGGGCCTTTGGGTATTTTAGTAACTGGAACCCTTTCGTGCCATGGTCAACCTCTTGGAACTCCTCTGGTTTTGCATATGCTCTGCCGCAGTCGCTCAGGAGGAGCGTGACCTTGCGTTCAGGCTTTTGTCAGACTTGGGCGCCAGGGAGGTGGAGAAGCTGGTAGAGGTCGAGGATGGGAGAGTGGTGGGGATTGCTGCGATTGGAGGGCGGCTGAAGGGCAACATTCCGGCTGAGTTTGGCAATCTCGTTGCTTTACAAAAACTTGACCTCTCTGCCAATAAGCTGACTGGTGAGATTCCCGCTCAGATCGGCAAGCTGACGCGCCTCAGATACCTTGACCTATCCGGGAATATGCTCAGCGGCCCGATCCCCGCATCAATCGGCCGCCTCACTTCCTTGGAAAAGTTGCTTCTTTCTGACAACCAGCTCACCAGCCCGCTCCCGGCGTCAATCGGCGGCCTCACTTCCTTGAGAAAGTTGCTTCTCAAGGAAAACCAGCTGACCGGCCCGATCCCGCCAGTCATTTGCCGGCTGGGTGCTTTGCAGGTGCTGTCGCTTGGCTATCTTCTTGTTGGCTCGTAGAGCTTTACATCTTGGAGTTGTCTTTGTTCTTGTGATGCGGAGGCTGATAGGAGGAGTTCAGAGTTCAGCAGAGGTCACTTGCCAGCAACCAGCTCGCTGGGCCCATACCCAGTGAGATTGGCGATTTGTCAAAGCTCACTCAACTTCTCTTGACTGGGAACAAGCTCGCTGGCCCGATCCCGCCTGAAGTGGGGAATATGACCAGCCTCAGATTTCTTTGGTTGGCGAGGAACAAACTCAGCGGCCCGATCCCGGCCGCCATCGGCCGCCTCGCTTCCTTGGAGGTTTTAGGTCTTTTCGAGAACCAGCTTACAGGCCCGATCCCGCACGACATTGGTCAAGAGCTTCTGTGCATCAGGGCAGTCCTGCTTCACAAGAACTTCTTGGAGGGCCAGTTCCCTGGCCTCTGGGGCAGTGCACAAGGAATTCGGTATCTGACCCTGCATGAGAACCGGTTCCAGGGACCGCTGCCGACCAGCCTGCAGAGCATGACCAGCCTGCGCTACCTCACACTTCATGGTAACGATTTCTCTGGGACTGTGCCCAAACTCAACCTACCTGGAGGCGCCAGGGCTACTCTGCACAGGAACCGCTTCAGCTGCCAACTACCGGCAAGCCTCGGGCTCGACAACATCGTTGCCACTGTGGTAATGGGCAACATGGTTGGTGTAGGCGACAGAACCTCTGCAAACTGGATCAGCCCGCCGGAATTACAGGATTTCTTATATGTATCCAGCAAGATCTGGTGGGGAAATGTGCTTGTATTGGCAGGCTTGCCAGTGGCATTCCTGGGTGCAGCCGTGATCTTTCGTCAATCTCGCCAAGCCAGCGCTGGAAGTACACGGGCACTTGGACGTGACCATGTCAGTTCAATATGAAACAGTATATTATTTACAGCAACAGAGTCTTTTGAATTCGATACGGCCCATTATATCCGATACCCCTGCGCAGAAGGTACTTGCTCCAGACGTCCATACCTCGTCGATGCGTAGCCTGCAGCTGTCGCTATGGATTGCGGCGCTCTGCGCCCTGCTGCTGCCAGCTTACCTCCACGGTGCGCGGTGCCTCGTTTGACTATTGCAGTCTGCCGGGCCCATGAGCTTAGAACCGTTCTTCGTCAGGTTTATGGGTTTAGAGGTTAGAGTGCTTTGAGGCTAAGGGTACCGGCACTGAATTGGGATTTCTGGAATACTGGAGCCAGACCCACAACAATGCAGACAAAGACTTATGGCATATCTTGTACAGTGGATTTGTCAATGACACTGACACTATGACAGTGGTAACTGGCATCACGCAACTAAGTTCCGTGAAGCTGTTTTCCGAGTATCCCCAATGTCAGACCTCGCGAGCGGGCATAGACTTCCAAGCCTTTGAGGGAAATAACAACCTAAACCTAAACCCTACTTCAATAACTAAGGCCCCTGTGCTAGGTACTACGAGTGTGGCCAGCCGCTTGCGTGGAGCACAGCGGCCTACTTGGATGAGTCGCCTCGAACAGAGCCTTAGTGGCTGAGTAGGGAACCTTTAACCTTTTGGCATCTAGGGTTTAGGGTTACAATCTTACAATAATTCAAAAGGTCAACATTTTATGGGCTAGGGTTCTCAGCCCATAAGGAGGTCTTCGTGATTTTGATCTGGAGCCTCGTGACTCTTTTTTTCTCTGTGGCAATCGCTGGGCTTCCCGAGCCACGCTGCCAGTGCCGCAAATCATCTAGGCCAGGTAGGTTGCGTCTACCCTAAGGCCTCACAGTGGTTCCTTTTTGGGATTACCTTATCGGATTCTATATACGAACCCCAAAAAGGAACTGCTTTGGGGCCTTCGGGTAAGGAGGCATTACTTGAAGAAGCTCACTAGGAAGCTGATACGTGGTACAGTTTCGGCCTCTGCCTCCCTCTTGCCTGGAGGTCCCCAGTCCTCTTGGTTTTTAGTGCCGAGGTGAGGATTCCAGGGGGCCGCCAGCAGGATCATGGCTAAGGCGCAAGGTTGCGTGGGTCCTCTGGATCGTACCAGTCACGGTGATCTCGCTGCCTTCCATCCTCTTTGCTGTGGCGCAGGCTGGTCAGCCCTGGGTTGAGATGGGCTGTGTTGGGCTTTGTTGAAGACGTTTTGCAACACGGCCCTAAACCCTAAACCCGACCCAAAAATAACAGCGGCAGTTAAGACAGTTGAAGCTAGGGTTGTGGAGCTGGCGGCTCTCGGTTCTGTATTCTGGACGCTACATCGCTTTAAAAGGGGCATAGCGATGTCACATACCCTTTGAAAACACGTCAGTTTTGAGCTACAGCTTTTCCACATACAGGCGCTTCCCAAGGACAACACGCTGGTGGCGAACTCGATCCTGCAAATCGCGCACCGCACGGCCCCTGCGCTAGTTGTCGCCATCGACGTGCTGCTGGCAGCACGTCTCTGCAAGTGGTATGCAGGTGCAGCCGGTTCTTCGGACCAGGGCGGACCCTAATGTGTCCTGTAGAAATGGACGCGCAACCTCGACGGTGTTTATGTTTGATCAGACAAATCTGCCGTCATATGACCTGCATGATCCTGCTCCTCGCGGACAACATCTCCAAACCCGAAACCCTTGGCCGCCCTACTAAAACCTCGTATTGCATGCGAGTGGGTTTCAACAGATCGTGTGGATATGCGTCTCGCCTAAAGCATCCGAGTGGGAGCCTCGAAACACTAAACTCCCTGGACCCCAAAAGTATGTGGAATAATGGCCTTTTATGGGTATTGGGCCATTATTTTACCTATTTGGGGGGTTTAAGGTCTGCCTGACCCTGGAAGGTCTATCTGGGATCCGGGCTGACAGGCTTCTGATGTCGCTGAGGTTGTGCGCGGCGTGGCTCCTTCCACTCCTCACGGAAGTCGCTTTGCAGGAAAACTGCCTGGCCGGGTGGAAGAGGTGGTGGACAGCCTGCGATCCGGACTCAAAGATGCATGATTCATTCAACTGGCACTACTGGGATTTATCAGAAATCGAGATCCTGAATACCACGACAGGCATGTGCAGCGCAGATCAGCAGAACCTTTGGCAGGGCCGTTGCAGCAGGTCTTTAATCGAAGGTCTATCTCCTCTTATCCTGAAGAAGCTGTTGATTCGGATTGTCCTGCAGCCACTTGTGATGGTCTTGACCTGGCGTGCTTCCAAGCTGGAAGATGACCCTTCGCCCCTCGAAGGTGGCCGACAGCTTCGGCTGCTTGGCCGTAGGACCAGTGGATCCCTGGCATCGATGCAGCAGCATGCCTATTTTAACACCCTACTGGAGACCGCCATTGTTTGGGGTCCGCTGGTTCCCTTGGTCAGCCTTGGCGTGGTGGCAGCGTTCTTGGCAAACACGATGCTCTTTGAGATAGGGCTCAGCTTTGGCGTCCGGCTGCCCACAGACGCAGCCAACACTCGGGCTGGAGTGTCCAGCGCCTATTTGCGGTTGGCATTGGCCATGAGCTGTGCTTTCCAGCTTTGGCACGCCTTCGGTACTTCCATGGCTGGGCGCACGATCCTGCTGCCTAGCGCCATGTTGACGACCGCCTTCAGCACTTTGGGTCTGCGGTCTGCCAGGCGGCCGCCAAGGAGGGGGCCAGGCTCAGACGAGCAGGAACTGTCTGAGATGGAAGGGACCAGCGCTGCATTTCCGCCGCTTCGCGTCTCGCTGCAGAGTGCATCCTGACAGCCATCGTGAATCGACTCGTTTCAGCGACTGGCGAAAGGTCGCTTGTGGGCTTCCCTGTCCCTGTCAGTCTTGAAATCATGGGTCGATGTTGGCCGTAGGAAGTATAGGCACGTTATGCGTGACACATGTGCGTGCTGTTTACGTAGATTAACCAACTCCAAGACATGAACCGTTTATCGCAAAGCAGTAAAGTGTCCAAGGCACATTCAACACCCAGCCCAAATGTGGCCCTAGATCCAACACAGGTACCCTCGAACAAAGCAATACTAACTCAAAGCCGAAGCCCCAAAGCACACTAAATGTTTCTCAGCCCGAGAACAGTGACCTCAATAGCAGCCGATAGTATTGCTTAGGGCTCCCCACACCAAATCCTTTTCGGAACCCTCATTACCGCCTTTGAGGTACCTTTTTTACCGGAACCCTTAAAGGAGCCCTCTTCTGCGTATTTTGCTCATTATGCATTACGTCGCCAAGGAACCCCTGAATCCGGATCCCTATGGATAACCCGAAACCCAGACTCCAGGTTGTAAGCTGGTTTTGCATCAGCACTACATAGAGTGTATGCCTCTGAGGCGGGCGATTCTGCGGAGAAAGACTCACTTCACATTAAACGCTCTCCTTCAGCCCGAAACCCTGAATCCGAATCCCGCTCAGACATCGCCTAGTATTGCCCGAGTGTGAGTGTCGAAACATCCCTAAGTGGGAGGGCAAAATCCCTATAATCCCTTATCCCAGATATACGAAACCCTAAACCCTCAACCTTAACCTGAATCCTAATCCGAGATATGCTAGACCCTAAGCCCTGAACCCTAACCTGAATCCTAATCCCAGATATACTAGACCCTTAAACCCTGTAGCCGAACCTAAATCCGTATAGTTATAGTACTCCAAAACCCGATTGAAATTACTAAGGCCGCCCCCTAGATTACCGGCCTTACCCCCCGCCCCTTACTACAGAACCAGTCTGGAGCCCTTGTAATTCCCTTCAACCCTAAACCCGAAACTCTAAACCCTAAACCCCAACTCCTAAACTCTAAACCCTAAACCATATGCCTCGCCTGGTTTGTCCGAGTGTGAGCGCCGAAACCCTAAACTCTAAACTCTTAACCCTAAACCCCAAACTCTAAACCCTAAACTCTAAACCCTAAACCCTAAACTCTAAACCCTAAACCCTAAACCCCTAAACTCTATAAACCCTAAACCCTAAACTCTATAAGCCCTAAACCCTAAACCCTAAACTCTATAAACCCTAAACTCTAAACCCTAAACCCTACATGTGAAACCCAGGCCCTGAGCCTGTGCCACTTGCAGCCGATGGCTCCGGTCGGGGAGCAATGCACGCGGCGATCTCCCCAGCTTCTGGCAAACCTAGGGACCTAGGTTTCTGAAAGGGTTCCTTAAAAGGGATCTAGGGACCTAGGTTTCTGAAAGGGTTCCTTAAGAGGGATCTAGGGACCTAGGTTTCTGAAAGGGTTCCTTAAAAGGGATCTAGGGACCTAGGTTTCTGAAAGGGTTCCTTAAAAGGGATCTAGGGACCTAGGTTTCTGAAAGGGTTCCTTAAAAGGGATCTAGGGACCTAGGTTTCTGAAAGGGTTCCTTAAGAGGGATCTAGGGACCTAGGTTTCTGAAAGGGTTCCTTAAGAGGGATCTAGGGACCTAGGTTTCTGAAAGGGTTCCTTAAAAGGGATCTAGGGACCTAGGTTTCTGAAAGGGTTCCTTAAAAGGGATCTAGGGACCTAGGTTTCTGAAAGGGTTCCTTAAAAGGGATCTAGGGACCTAGGTTTCTGAAAGGGTTCCTTAAAAGGGATCTAGGGACCTAGGTTTCTGAAAGGGTTCCTTAAAAGGGATCTAGGGACCTAGGTTTCTGAAAGGGTTCCTTAAAAGGGATCTAGGGACCTAGGTTTCTGAAAGGGTTCCTTAAAAGGGATCTAGGGACCTAGGTTTCTGAAAGGGTTCCTTAAAAGGGATCTAGGGACCTAGGTTTCTGAAAGGGTTCCTTAAAAGGGATCTAGGGACCTAGGTTTCTGAAAGGGTTCCTTAAGAGGGATCTAGGGACCTAGGTTTCTGAAAGGGTTCCTTAAAAGGGATCTAGGGACCTCGGTTTCTGAAAGGGTTCCTTAAAAGGGATCTAAAAGGATTCGTAATTTGGGAATATACCTAAAGAGGGTCTGGGGTTTTAGGGTTGCCTTAAAACGGGGCTGCGAGTTCCGTAGGCGCTGGCCGGCACCTCAGTCCGTCCTGAAGCAGAGGGTTAGGGTTTTCGGGCTCAGGTTTCAGTTCCAGACTTTAGAAAAGCGGAACTCGGTAATCCGGCAACTTCTTGTGTGTCCTGGGGTGAGGGGGCAAGGGAACCCTAAACCCTCGACCGTATTGGGCTCATCGTTCTACCGTCCCGAGTCAAACCTCGAACCACATGCCTCGCCTGGATTGTCCGACTGTGAGCGCCACAGCCCTAAACCCACAAACCCTAAACCCTAAACCCATAAACCCTAAACCCTAAACCCTAAACCCCTAAACCCCTAAACCCTAAACCCTAGAAGCCCTGAGCCGGCATTTAAAGCCAAAGGTCGCATGGGCTTTGAAGGTGGAGGTTCCTTCTTAGGGCTTCGGGTCCTTGGATTTATAGGATTTAGGGTATCGGACTTTTGGTTCGGGGTTTGGGTTTAGGGTTTTGAGATGCTTTCGGGTTAAGAGACTGCCCATTGACAGGGAGCTATTGAGCCCCACTGCCACAAGAGCTGTCAGGCTTCGCAGTTCGGATTATCTGGAATATGTTCCTGAGCAAGAATGCAGTCAAAGGTTTAGGGTATGTTTAGCCTTACAGTAGGGTTCGAGGGAAATGCTACTGGCAGCGGTTCAGCCATCGTCAGGTGACAAGGCTGTTTTCAATTCAGGGCTGTTGAGAGGGGACTTTGAATCTGAAGAAAGGTGTCGGCTGTAGGTCCACGGGGCTCTCTTTTGGCGTCAAGCAAGGGAAGGCATATCTCACGCGACTGTGACTTTAAGCTGCACTGCAGCTGCTTTCATTACGAGCCGAAGTGGCTCTTTCTTTTTCCCTCTTCCTTTATTTGCTACACAGCCGTGGAAACGTGGTGTCATTCTTAGAGTACGGTCGGGAGTGATGTGACGAAAACAGTACACGTACCTCCGGTTTTTGCCCGAAGCTCGAAAGCTCGAGAGAAACCAGCTCGAATCCTGTGTCGTGAGGTGTTGCTCCTCGTTTGATAGAAAGCCACATCCCCCAGGTCCCTAAACTCTAAACTCCAAACCCTGAAACCCTGAACTCTGAAGCATCTAACACATCGATTCTAACTTCACAAAGCAAAACAGCTTTTCGAGCAGTCGAGTTTGCGCCATCCATGGCGACATAAGCCCCCCGGCCCTCAACTGAAGGTTCTGCCGACAGAGCTCCGGACCCACATTGGCGGGCACATTCAGGCTGCCTGCTGAACCCTAGATATCCTAAACTTACATCATCTCACATGTAGATCACCCGTGCCCGGCACTGCGACCCAGTCAGCTCGTGAGAGAAATTACCCAAATAGGCTTGGACCCTAGAATACCCTAGACACTTAAACAATGATCCGCAGATGCTTCAAACCCGAAACCTCAAAACCCCGCAAGCCTTGACCCTAAAAGCTAAAAGCTGTAGTGGGTTCAGAGGGGTCGAGATTGCCGGCAACGATCCATCCATTCCACCACTCAGGTTCCAACAAGACAACCCGAGACTAAATTCATGGTTTAGAAGGTTTCAGGTTCAGATTTGGGGTGAAGACAGCTTCCGCCGGAAGTTAAGGGATGTTGTACCTGCAGGCCGTTATCTTGAACTGATGAACACGGTTCAGGCCGAGTTTCAAGCTGCGTGCCCGGGGGCTCTGACTCTTAGCCTTACCCATAGGCTCCATAGTAGTTCCTTGATACGAACCCCAAAGAGAAACTACTGTGGAGCCTCTAGGTAAGAGCTTAGGATTTGGGGGGTGGGACATTCCGTCCTCGGCCCGACCCCCCCCCTGCGAAACCCGTGGGGGCTTAGACGGATGAGTGCAGTTATAGGGGCCCAAATAAATACCTATACTCTTTTCGTGGTTCCGTCTTATGAGCATAGTGTAATGGGCCCCAAAACCCTACTCTACTTATAGAAGGCCCTTACAGTATAGGGGCCCGTCGACTCGATGTAGGGTTTAGGGCTCGGACAGAGTTATTTATCAGGTTCTTCCCGTGTAAGCATGAGTCCTGAAGTTCTGTGGGCCTGTGTGCAATCCAGGCATCCTGGTTGCTGTCCGTGGACCGTCAGCGCATGCAGGAACGCACCCTTGGTTTAATTGCAGCAGGGGACACATATGTAAAGACTTCTGCAAAATAGGCGTCTTTGGTGGATTCTGCGAAAGAGTACAGCCCTCTCACGTCGCGGATGATGGTGATGATGAGTGAGATGAGGTCACGATGTTGATGAAGCTGCTGGTGCTGAGGAGGCTCACTCTGCCAAGGCTGGTGCAGAAGATGGTGGTGACGACGATGCTGATGATAAAAGATAAAACTGATGAAGATTCATGAATGAAGATTAAGATGCCTGACAAGGATAGCAATCAGCTATACTCTTACTAAGGAGCAGATGATGTTGGTGATGTTTTTCCTGATGATGATGATGATGATGATGATGATGATGATGGTGTTTGCGGGGTTTGGGTTGTTGGTCATGCTGATGATGGCCATGATGTCGACTCTGGTGAGCTTGACTGTAGCGGTGGTTATGGTGATGACGGTGTTGATGATGGTGATATCGGTGCGCAGGGCCGTGCTCATTACATTGGTGATACTTCTGGCATGATTGCTGCAACGCTTCACGGGGGCGGTGCTAGCTGCTAGTGCTGTTGCACACTAAGGTGCCATGCAGATGCAGACGACCACGATGGTGGCGGTCGTAGTGCAGGGCCAACCTATAGGGCTGATGATAACGTTGGTAAGGAAGACGATGACGACAACGACAGGATCATCGTGCTGGTGATCGTCGTGGTCGTGATGGTGGTGGTGACAGTGGTGGCGACAGGTAGTGTTGTGCTGGTGCTATTGCTGCCGCTGCTGCTGGTTCTGGGGCTGGGGCTGTCGCGGCGGGGGTTGCCGTGGGGTTCTGGTGGTGAATTGGCTGAATGTTGGCTCTTATGATAATGGTGGTGTATGATTGCGCCGAACCTGGCTCTGAATGCGAATTGCAACGATGGCAGGACTTTGCAGACAACGCGTGGAACCACGCTTTGCTGATGACATTGCCCAGGTCAGCAGCCCTCTAATAAGGAACGCAGGCCGTGCCCGACTCCCGACCGTGGAAGCACAAGGTAGTCAAGGATAGCTATGTATGCTGGCAAAAGATGTCCCAGCCGATCTAGTATAGCTAAATAGGGGCCTAACTCATTAACAGTGCTGTGTGCTCTTTTTTGGGGGGCGTTCCTTGTTATATAGTTATACATCTTACATTAATAGACCGCGAAACCCCTTGATTGTGATCCTGAGGGATGTCTCATTGTAGTTTGGAAGATCTTGGGTACTGCCTCCCTCTGTAGCAGCTATCTGACATTTATATTATAGTTTTATATCGCCCTTTGTAGCAGTTGTATGAAATTTATGATATACTTATATATATATATATGTATAGCTTTATATAGCCCTTACTACGACCCCTCATGTAGACTGTTACAGGGTGGGGGGGGCAGCACGCAAGGAAGATCGTCTTGGTTTGCCAGCCGGGCGAGCCATGTGATAAGACAGCCATGAGGTTTTCAGGTCGGTTTAGTGGTTGCCGATCAGGGCTCCGGGTTTACCTTAACCCCAGAAATCCTACCTCCATCAGGGACTTATACTAAGAAATCATTATTAGGGAACCCCCTAAACCCTCAGAGAGGGAACCCCCTAAACCCTAAACCCTAAACCCTATTAGGGATCCCTAAAACGGTACCCAAAAAATCATTATTAGGGAACCAACCCTAAACCCTAAACCTTTAGGGCTTCAAGGTAGGTTGTTTGGGGTCCAGGTAGGTCTTGGGGCTAAGCTTCTGGGGATGGAAGGCTCCGGGTTCACGTTTGAAGCTATTGGGGCTCCGTCTTCAAGCAACTGATGTGTAGGTTTAGGATTTAGGGTTTAGGGTTTAGGATTTAGGGTTTAGGGTTTAGGGTTTAGGGTTTAGGGTTTAGGATTTAGGATTTAGGGTTTAGGGTTTAGGATTTAGGGTTTAGGGTTTAGGGTTTAGGGTAATGTAATCTAGTACTCTAAATCGTAGGATCCGTATCATAAGGACCCCAAAATAAGGTACCCCTAATTTCGGAAACTCCCATATCCTGTCTCTGGCCTCTGTGACAGTCGACTGTACGTGCTGGGCCTAAAACAACTACCAATGCTATTTTGAGGCTTCCTTATTATAGTTATACTGCAAACCCCCATGCCCTCTTCCAATTCTTAGGCCTCTCCCATCACTATGCGGGATGGAGGACTTCATAAGGAGGGCTGTAAGTCCTATAGACAGTCTTGCCCTAAGCCCCTCCTTTATGCACCACCCCCCCCAGGAGTTTTCGCTTGAGGACGTGGCTAAACGGAGCACTGGAGGTCTAAAGTTGCAATTTCCCCGAGGGTTTCTTTGAGGCTTTGCTGGGGGTTGTCACGGGTTTAGGGTTTAAGGTAATTACTGCATCCAGGTTTTGGGCTTTGCAAAACAAGGCTTCGAGGGACAACAGTCTAGAGCATCGATTGAGAGTTTCCGGGATCGTAAGCCCGAAGTGTCACCTAATGATCCTCAGACCCCCGCCGCCTCTCAATTCAAAACTCTGAAAATCCTAGTTCAGACATCTTAAACGCGTTTGGCCCCCAACTGTAACATAGGGGCCTAAATGATCCAACGCTTGTTCGCCTATTCTAGTTATCAAGGCCCCCAAGTGTAACTCAAGCCTTGGATGTGGGAGGCTGCTGCAGCTCCACTTGCGCTGGATTGCACAAGCAAGACCTCCCAACCTTGCCAAGGTCTGCGGTATGAAGTTTAGGGCTTTTTGCACCTTTTGTATCCGTTGTAGTTCTGGTTAACGAATGATATGAAGTTGGTTAACCCAAATGGAGACTATAGGTAGGATTTAGAGATTTACGGTGTGCGGTGTAGGGCTTGGAGTTTGAGATGTAGCGTTCAAGACTGGGCCCTTGTCAAAGGATTCAGTTTAAGTTACTGAAATATGGGTCTATAGCAACAGAGAGGCTTTCTTTGTATTTATTTTTGGCAACTGAAACCTACATTCTTTAACAAGAACCTGGTTCACCAGGGTAGATAGGCTTTCTGTTCAGGGTAACTTGAACCCAAATTCCTCAACAAGAATTTGCTTTTCCAGGGAAGTACTCCCAACTTAGTCCAGAGGGGCGGCTCTTTGCTGTTTGTGACAATCACCCGGAGTGACGGAGCGTCTTCTGAACTTGGGTTATAGGGTTAGGGTTTAGGGTTACCTGGACCCCAAAAGTATGTAGAATAATGGCCTCTTATAGGTTTTGGTCCATTATTTTACCGACTCTTGGGGTGTAGGTATAAGATATAGGGTTAGGGTTTCCAAGGCCAGGCACAGACAGTGTCGGGTGAACCCTTCGACAGTATGGGGACTTTAATGGGAGGTTGGGCATAGCGAGGTTTCGGCCTTTGTATCTTGCACCGGTCTTGAAGTGTAGCAGTGTCGCAGGGCAACCCGACTCCTACTCCTACCCCTAGCCGTGCTCGTACCCCTACCGCCTACTCCTACCCCTACCCTTGCTCCTACTCCTACTTCCACTCCTACCCCCACTCCTACTCCTACTCCTAGTGCTGCTGCGACTGCTACTACGGTTGATAATATAAATCCTGCATTACCTTAAGGATCCTAAACTATGGGAGTTATGGTATATTCCTTATTATGGGTCTAAACCCTAAACCCTTAACCATCAACCGTAGTGCCACGGCTGGCCCCTCATGGACTGATGGCCTGGGTCGGCGCATTTTCAGCTGCCGAAATCGCGCCCCGAAGCCCGAAGATTCAGGGTTCAAGGGTTCGAAAGGAACAGATTCTTTTAAGGTTTAGAAGGAATTTAGGAACAGATTCTTTTAAGGTTTAGTTTGAATTTAGGGCTTAGGGCTTCGGGTTTAGGGTTCAGGGGACTCAGGGTTCAAAAAGGGGACTCAGAGCCGATAACCAACAGCAACAGAATCCCAAGAATCCCAACCATAGTACTACGGTTGATGATATAAATCCTGCAGTACCCATCGTAAGGAGGAGTATACCATAATTCCCATGGTCTAGGGTCATTAAGGTATTGCAGGGTTCATATCATCAACCGTGCTATATCCCAAACTCGAATCCCCGGCACAACCCCGCGCACCCGAACCCAAAAGCCTCTCGATCCCCACTCACACCATGGACTCTTGTCAACCCGTGGACTCCCTAAACCCTAAACCCTAAATCCTAAACCCTAAACCCTAAATCCTAAACCCTAAACCCTAAACCCTAAACCCTAATACCTAATCCCTAATCCCTAAATCCTAAATCCTAAACCCTAAACCCTACACCCGCCCTGTTGAACCCAAGAGCCCATGGAAACCTGGAGCCGCATAGCCCAAAGCAAGTTCCCTTCGATGCAGGCCTATGAGATACTGCCCGACATGGAGCTTTTTGCAGGGGTTAGGGTTACCCTATGCCTCCCGGGACCTTATTATGGGGTCCTTAAGGGGTCTAGGACCCTAACTATGAGGTCCTTGCAGGGAGTAGGGTTAGGGTTCAGGGATGTGAAGATTCTGGGGATTGTGAGTTACATGGGCGGTTAAAGATTTAGTGAACTGCGCGAATTGAAGAAAGCCTTTGGCAAAAATATTGAAGGTCTGGCGAACCCTAAACCCCAAACCGTGGCTTGAGCATTTGACCGGAGCCTTTCCTTTTGGTCGAGTTCTGGCTCGAGGGTTCGGCTGGGGCATTTGCCAGACCTGAACTAGAATAGGCCCGACGACTCAGCCATAAGCTACCTAAACCCTAAACGAAAGGCACGAGGTTTTTTAACAAAAGCATACAAAAAAATAAGCTAAACACATAACACCTAAACCCCAGGACCCCTAAGCCTTTAACGGTGGGCAAGGCTTACCCAACCTTCGCTCTCTGACCTTGATTAGTTTAGGGCTCCGGGTTTAGGGGTTAGAGTAATTATCGGGTTTAGGGGTTTAGAGGGTTTATAATAGTAACAGCATTTGTAGGGTTTAAGGGTTTAGAGTACATAGGGTTTAGGGGTTGCGTGCTGAAAAGGGGTTGCAGGGGTTTGGTCTCTGGGGGTGAAGTGCACACTTTTGGTTTCCATATACGCAGCATCGAATATTGCCCGGCAGCATATTCTTGCGTTTAATCCGTTACATGACCTTCCTTAGGCCTTGTCTCAAGAATCTCAACAGGGGGAGGGCTTTAGAAGCCACTAGACAAGAGGGCCGATAAGGTTTGGGGCCCCATTGCCTTCTTGGAGGGTCGGGGGACTTAGTAACTGGTTATTTTAGGGACTTATAAGTACCATAACCCCAATTAGGGTCCCTTCTGGGGTACTTATAAGCCTACTTACTACCTACTTACTATGTCCCCCGACCCTCCAAGTTGGATACGGTGTTTGGCATGGTCAGGGCATGGTTACCCTCTGCTCCCGGCCTTGTAATAAACGCCTCTGAGTCTCGCGCGGTCGATGATAGCTTCGATGGCATTGCATGAGATGCTTTTGCTAGCCATTCCCTTGAAACAAGATCAAAATCAAGTTGAGTAGTGCAGCAGAGGCTGAGCAGCAAGCCACGATGCCCGAAGAAATCGACATGACGGCATCCGGAAGGATATACCAGAATCCGGCCAATCCACGCGAGCTCTGGTTTAACCTGGGCTGGTACATCAAGGACAAGTACCAGTTTCCATCTTACAAGGGCTGGATGGGAGAATTCATCAGCACGGCCGACTACAACAAGGTTGTCCAAGACTTGCAGGACGAGTTGAACGGCTCGACTGTCACGCAAACGAAAGATCAGGTTGACCAAGGCGCAATATGCTGCTGCTTGATTACGTTGTGCTTGGCTTGCCCAGTTTGCAGCTGCGTCGTGCTATGTTACGACATCGGACTCAAAAGCCTGAAAGGAAAGCTGACAAGCAAGTTGGAGAATTCCGGCATCAAACAAGACATGCGGATCGAGTTCGTGAAAGCCGATGATTTCTTCAGGAAGGCAAGCGTCTGGAAGGACCATATGTCACAAACTTTGCAACTCAGGAAGAAGGGAGGCGAACAGTTCGAAGGGGGACCACCGCCAGGCCAGCAACGGTATAGCAAAAAAACGAGGTCGTAGTCGTAGTCTATGCATCCTAAAGTCGTTGCCTTTCTCATGACCTCGACTTCTAATATATATATATATATATATATATATATATATATATACATATATATATACATATAGATAGATAGATATATATGCTTATGTGATTTGCACGTAATACATAGTATATGTATATGAATGATTGTATGCGTATGTATATATGTGTATAACAGCTTTGTATGTATACCCACACCGAAACGCGGAGAGACATTTACATAAGACTCAGCCCCTCCAGGATGCAACCTTGTGATCACCACCGAGCAGCCGATTTCGTGGCCCCCACCGCCAGATGCCGCAGACGTCATGGCCGATGCTTTGCAGAGGGGGGTGGCCGGAGCCACAAGTGCCATCCAGGGCGCCGTGGCTTGGGTGCCTCCTTGCGGATTCAGGGGGTGGGGGGGGGGGGAAGACGTCTTTACGATTTCAGGCTCTTGGGGCTTACAGGGCGGCAGGCCCCAGCACGGTTTGGAAAAGAACACAAAGCGGAGTTTGCTTCTCGGTCCGAGTAGTCGCGTACTTTTGTATAGCTCCCAAATTAGAGCTTTCTATCGTTAGTCGAGCTTCGGTGCCGTGAGCTCTTCAGCGCACCTTTATTCACGCCGCTAACCCAAAACCCAACTTAAAGGATCATGGGACTTAGTAACTAGGGTTATAATTAGGGTAACTATACTTATATCCCCAATTAGGGCACTTATAACCTTACTAAGTCCCATGATCCTCCAAGAACCCACACAGGGGGCCACGCCCAGGCGCAGTCTGACCAAGTCCAGGATGCCGTCAAGGGCGCAGTGGACAAAACCAAGGATGCCGCCAAAGCTGCCGTGGAATGGGTGCCGAAGCTCAAGCGCCAACATGCTCTCTCCGGGGGGGTATCAGGTTGAGGGGATGGGCTTTTGAGCCAACATATCGGGCCAAGCTTCTTCCGGAATCATACCCTCCAATCTTCAAGTTTTCCCTTTTCGTCAGACACGCCTGTCAACACATGGATAGCCTTTCATAGCATCCCCCAGCACCAATCCAAGACAGGGGCCGCTGACGTAGAGGCCGAGAAGTTTAGAGGGTCCGCTGCCAACATGAAATGCCAGTGCGCCAAGGCACAGTCCGACGAAGTCCAGGACGCGGTCAAGGGTGCCGTAGACAAGACCAAGGATGCCGCCAAAGCGGCTGTGGAATGGGTGCCGAAGCTCAAAGCCAATATCAGCTCGGGGGGGTTCAGGCTCAGAGGATGCATGCTTGAATTGAAAGCCTGTGTTTTGGGAGCCTTGCCCCGCTCTCCGTAACCAGCCTACAGTCATCCGTCATCCGTTTCTGGCCTCGCGAGACGATCCCTGCAACTAAGTTCTATTTCTGCTTCCTCACGATCTTACAGACCAAATCCGAAGATACATCCATGTGTGCCTGAGACATCCCGGCCTTCTTCCATCCTAAACTCCAAACTGCGCATTGCGTGTTGTAAGAATGACAGCTTGATTGGGATGTTGACGACTTTTGGCGGCCATCGAGCACATTTTCGGATGCCGAAGCAAGAAGAGCATTGCTGTGTTGTGCCTGATCCTTTGCTACCTACTTGTTCGTCTTGTTGTGGAGCACTGACGAGAGTTGAAGAGATCATAACGTCGCAGATAGTCGATGCCAGGCGTCCCGTGTGAACAGGTAACTTATACGGTACAAGCGGCCACTACGGTGCTTGCAGCTCCAGGTGCGGAAGCCCAAAACCTCCGAACCACCTAAACCCAGAACCCCCCTGGCACGCCCGACCTCTAAACAATCTTCAAGCCCTAAACCTGTAAACTCCGTAGACCCTATCAAACCCCAACTTGCAAGCCAAACAGTCACAGCAAACAACTTAGTAACACCTAAACCCCAAGCCCCCAAAACACTAAACCAACACTAAACGACTGAGAGCGCAAAACCCTAGACCCCCAAACCTCCGAGAGCTTAAACCCTTATCCCCTGAACCTTAAACCCCCTAAACTTCACCAAAGCCCTAATCCCCAAAGCTCTAAACCCCTAAACCCTAAGCCCCCCAGACCCCTTCAAAAGCCCTTAAGCCAAGGCTCAGTCCGACGAAGTCCAGGACGCAGTCAAGGATGCCGCGGAGAAAACCAAGGAAGCTGCGAAAGATGCTGCAGAATGGGTGCTTTGAAAGAAAACGTTTGTGGTTTAGGGCCCTTTGGGGTTTAGTGAATAAGATGCTGCAGAATGGGTGCTTTGAAGCACAAGGTTTGGGGTTTAGGGCCGTTTGGGGTTTAGGGAACAAGATGCTGCAGGATAGGTGCTTTGAAAGCACGAGTATGCACGAGTTTAGGACCTTAATTATAGGATTCTAGTAGACATGAACCACAAAAGGAACTGCTATGGAGCCTTATGGGTAGCGGCTTTATTAATTGTAGAAAGTGTCAGGTATTGTGAGGTTTGGGTTTGCAAGTTACATGAACAGCTTCAGTCCAGGTGCGAACAGCCTGAATCTAAAAGGGTCGATGCGCAAAGTTTCAACTTTTTCAAGTTAGGATTCGGCGTCTGGGATCAGGATAGCCATTCCATGCGGTACTCTAAGTTTCAAAGCCTTTCTTCGGCTTTTCGATCTATTTCAAGCACAGAGCGACTTGAACCGAGGCCAGAGGAGTCCACTGATTCAATGTGTAATGTTGACCCCTGATTAATAACCCCCCCCCCCCGCCCCCCCCCCCTCAAGGTTGTCAAGGTCGCAGGCCCCCCACAGGATCACAGACCCCCAAATAATCCCGTGAAGCCAAATTGCAGTAAACAGTGGTGCTAGTAGTAGTAGTCGTAGTAGCAGCAGTAGTAGCAGTGGCAGTAGCAGTAGCAGTAGCAGTAGCCCTTGAAAGAACCGCTTGAAAGAGGACAAGACGCCCTTTAAATGTAGTCTTGCCCCCTTTAAAAGTAGTCTTCGAAGCACTTTTGAAATTTTAGATCCCCAGACGGTGTTGCCTTTAATCGTGGGGAGTTTTCTGCAAAAAACGATCCTTATTTGGGTGCTGCCTTTAAAGTAGTACAGATTGGGGCCGGAGCCGCCCGCAGGCCGCCTTTAATCGTAGGGGGATTATTAATCCTAGGTCAACATTAGGCCCCACAGTACCTTGCACCGTTGAGGAACTACATGGATGGTTGTCAAAATTAGGGCCCCTTGTTGGGTCCTTATGATAATACGGCACCTAATATTTAAGGTGCCCAACAAGGGACCATAATTTTGACAACCACCCACATGCGTTCTTCTGTGGCAAGCTCAAGGCTCCCTCCCCCAAACTCATGCAACCCTGATCTGCCCTGCCGCTGAGTGTTACTACCACGGTTTAGGGTTTAGAGTTTAGAGTTTAGGGTTTAGGGTTTTAGGTTTAGGGTTTAGGGTACCCATAGGCCCCACAGTAGTTCCTTTTGTGGTTCATATATAGAATCCTATAAGGTAGTCCCAAAGAGGAACTACTATGGGGCCTATGGGTTAGTTTCTGGGACTTGCCGAAAGCAACGGAGCATTACCATAGGCGTCTTTGCGCGGCGAGCCCCTGATCAGCACGAAAACTTGAAATGTAGAATCTTAAACTTTGAGCCCCGAGGTGATGCCTATGTATGCAGATACCCTAAGCCGACCAGCATACCGGAGAATAATCCTGAGTATATAAAACCGGTAGGGTTTAGGGTTTCGGGTGTAGAGAGACCTAGTTCAAAAAGGGTGTATATAGTGCATGGCTGACGGCAGAACTCTAGATGATGAAAGCCCCAAAAGTAAGCACTGGAGGTTTTCTTCGGGACCCTTTGGTGACATAAGCCGACAGGGAAAGAATCCTAAACAGGAGCTGCAAAAGGAGTGTGGGACAGTTTAGGTTGTAAGGGAGAGCGGTAGGTACAAGTCGGTCTAGGGAGCTGCGCAGTGGTAAACCAACCCTCAAGGGAAAGCGCGGGCGAAATCGGAAAGCATCAAGGGCATTGCTGTAGAGCCGAGGAAGTTGGCATTTGAGCGCAAGATTTTTCGGGTTTCGGCTTGCTGAAATGATACAGCAGCGCAAAAATAGCTGACGGTGAAAGGCTTCCAACAGCTGTCCAACTAAGGGCACTTAAGTCCCATTAGCCAAGCCCCACCAATTTCCAAAAATGGGACTGCTCGAGAGCACTTGTCAAGGTGCAGACCCAGGTGAAGCCAATGCAGCAAGCGATGGACTCTGGGCAGCAAGTCAGAGGAAAGGCCTTTGTTTTTCACATCCTTCCTTGCTGACTCAGGCGTTTGCGAACCTGGAAACGTATTTTAGAGGATTGGGACTGATCCCCGGTCTTGTCCTGACCAAGCAGGAGACAAGAATCTGGAATTCCCAGCCCTGCAATTATAGAACCAGAAGCATAAATCGTAAGCGTCATACATCAAAATACCAGTGACATTCCTTAAAGTTCCTTACTATGTTGATTTGAGGTGACTATGGTATGGTATAGAAAGCTTGCTTAACGTATCAAGGCCCCCACATAGATAGTACAGTCCTCCAAGCAAGCCGAGTGGAGGCCGGTCCAACCTTTGAGCCTTGCGAGTCCTTCAAGGGCACCAAGCCAGGCAGGGCGGGTCCAAGTTCTCCCAAAGTCCAGTTTGGGAGCTTCCAGAAATTGGGGGGGGGGGGGGGGGGGGCGGGGTATCTTATTTTGGGGGTCCTTGTAAAAAGGATCCCACTATTTAGGGTACTATATATTAGGGTCCCAAGTCAAAGTTAAGAATTGGCGCGGGTCCATGGGCGTATGCTGTAAGTCCCTATACATCCGTATATGCTTCGAGTTTTAGGTTATTTATCTGTCTCTCTCTCTCTCTCTCTCTCTCCCTCCCTCCCAGGCATTCGAAACGTGTCTAAACCCTACAACCCCAAGCCGTGAGAAGAATATGCCGGCACTGTCGTCCACGTGTGAGGCTAGAGCCGGTATAGGCTTAGGGTGCCAGGGTTCGGGGCCAAATGCGCAATGCTGCACGCGCATATTGGCCTAAAGGGGTTTGGGGCCATGAACCCTGAAGCTGTAGGATTCTCGTGGGCTCTTATGCTTTCGACATGAACTCGGTCAGCGAAAAAGCCCACCAAATGAAGAGAATCAGCCGCCTTGATCTTCACATCATAAAGAAATGCTAGTGTTTTGGATACAGGTTTTAAGAACCCCACCCCAAAAATGTAGGCGCATGATTAGTGATTCGTGAGCCGCCTCAAGGGCCTTTTTACTAGGATCCTCATGCCTTCTACGATAGCCTCTTCAAGGGAGGGGGGTTGTTGAGTCAGGGGGGTGGTCAGGGTTTACGGTTTAACGTCTAGGGTTGAGGGTTTAGAGTTGTAGGGTCTGTGTAGTCTTCGGCAGTTTGGGTCAGCTTCCCCGCGTCGGAGTTCTCAGTGCCCGAAAGGGACCTAAAGCCTGTGAGGGTCTCTGGAAAAGCTGCAGCACCTCAGCGCACAACTTATAGTGGAGGACCTGAAGCCCAGAATACCGATAGAGCAACCCCAAAGCCCAGAGCACCGCACAGCACGACCCAAGCCGGTTCCAGACATTGGGATGGGAAGTTGCTAGCGCTCGGATGTTCATGCTCGGACTAAGGCAACTCCTGTGAGCCGAGGGCTCAGTGCATCTAGTGTCCAGGGTTCTTCAGTGGTGGATATAGAAATTGCATTGAATGCCGCAGCTCAAGCGAAAGATTGATTCTGATGGGGTGGTGTTTTCTATCCCATAGCATTCGACGCCCAATAGTTGTGTACTGATGTAGAGGTCGGTTTAGTTCGAAATCGTATCACAATCATATCGCCTTCGAGTGCGTGTATAGTTGAATAGAAGTATACCAGAATATACCCGGAGACCCCATTCGGATCGCGAAGGCCCCTGTAGTATAGCTCTTGTAGTAAAGCTTCATGCGAGGCGGATGGACATCTGGTAATGAGCCATCTGTGCCGGCCTTCATGAGACTCAGGATGAAGCAGGCCTCATAGACATGGCGCCGACAGGCTTGGTAAGAACGGCAACACTTCCGAGTCATGAGGACATCGTGCTGCCCGATGACGATGTAAACTCGGAGCTGCAAAAAGCATACGTTCTAATCATCGGCGGTGGTCTTGCATCGCACTGGTGCTCTTTGTGGATCTTCGAGAAGGGTGAAGTCTATTCAATGGAGCTCATGGGTTACCGGATGCTCCAAAGTCGCTACAAGATGCGCCATTTGTACTCCTTTGCAACAGGTTGTCGCACTCCACCACCCCCTGGCCCCGACTTCCGTGGGGAAGAGGACCAGGACGAGGAGGATGAGGAACACTGGTGTGGGGAGTTCAGCAAGCTTCGCGCAGTTGTTGAGTACATCTGGCCCTTTCAACACATCTGGCCACATCAGCTACGAGAATCCGTCCAGCATTGCCTCTTCGGATTCCTCCACAGAAGTGGCAGAAAGAACTTCATCATGAACGGGAAGTTTAAGCTCCAATTGCCGAAGTCTGCTGGTGTTCTCACTTGCCTGGACCTTATTTGTATAAAGGACACATCACCTCATGATCTTCGCAAACGGGCAAGCAAGCTACCACTTGGCGATGCGTTCTACGAGCTGCATTTTCATAACTGCCAGCTCTTTCTTCTGCAGCTTCTTTGCGAAAAATATGAGGTGGAGGTTGCTAAACTGCCCTTGACGGCGGGGTCGATCGGAGCCGGGCCTTCCCTGCTTTTCTTGGAAGTCGCCTTCATTGCTGTCTTTCACGCGCTTCGGCACGGGCACCCCAATGTGGCGATGCTTGTTGGTCTGCTGTGGGTGGCAGCGGAAGCCTACTCCACCTGGAGGTATGTGTACTCGCACGCCTTAAGTGCCACTAGTGGGGTCGTTATCGGAGGCGTCGGCACAATGTGTCTTTGGATTGGAGTCGCAGTGCATAGCCCTTCGAACTATGTCTTTGTCGACTCGATTCCCGTCCTGAGCCTGCTTTGGGACCTATGCATGGTCGCGGAGGCATTGACAGTCAACATGGTCTATCATGATGCTGCTTTGACTCTTCTGAACCTCATGCTAATTATTCTAGCAATTGTCGGGGTGGGCATCTTGCAATTTCTGAACGGGCGGCCTGTGCAAGAGCTCTACGAGGGAGTTGCAGGAGCAGTGATCGGATCGCTTCCTTTGATCTTCGGCTATAGGCTTTTCTTGAAGATCGATAACAGGCTGGCGCGATTTCTTTGCGCCTCCTGCTTCATGTACCTCGCCTTGATCGTCTTCGTGCTTTGGATATCACAACATACGACTGCGCAAGACAGATACCAAGTGGCTGCTTTACCCAAAGCCTCTGAAGGAGCGCCTGGTGCTTCCCCAAGGCATCAAACGCAGAGAACCCTCTTCATGCACCCGGGAGGGCCTTGACTTGACCAACATCTGAGCGCAAGATGTCAAAAAACACGGGCCTGAGGGATGAACTCCGCCAGGGCAACTTCCACCGACGCTCTTTGTTTAGCATCGTATCTTAGAGCATCGTACATATTGTAGTATCCTATACTAGGTTTTTCTTTGTCAGATCAACCGTTCAGGGCTTTGTGTTTTTTGGGGCTTGCGTTGGGTATACAGGTTTTGGGAAGTGCCATGTCATCCATTCCTGAGATGGTCATTTCCACGCTCAAGCCCAGAGTTGAGCCAAGCGTGGAGGATCGGACTTAGTATGTCTCTAGGGTTATAAACCAGGCTGTTTTGGTTGGCTATATCAGTTAGATCTTTAATCATATCGAGTTAGTACCCCGGGCAAGGTACTCATAATCCCGAGCCTGCGAACCTCCAAGAACCTCTAAACCAGTGCAGAACCCTCATAGACCACTCATAGAACTCGTTATCTAACCATTGTGGAGTCCCCATAGCACATCACGTACTAAGTCCCCCCAGTCACTCGAAGCCATGTAGTCGAGCCTGTGTCCTTGGCACCTGGAAAGGCGGTTTAGGGGTAATAGGGGCGTTAAGAAGTACCTGTACTATTCTGGGGTTCCTTACTACAACTATAGTACCATGGCCCCAAACCCGATTCTAATTATTAAGGCCCCGATATTATAGTTGGGGTTTATCTTTTGTTGACGTGGCTGTTGAGTAATCTTGCCTTTATCGTCTTAAGCCCCTTCCCCTTCTGCTTGAAACCGTAGAGCCCCGATACCCGCAGCGACCGCTCCGGTATACTCAGTAGACACCGCAACCTGCAATCCTTGATCCCGAAATGGCCGCAACCATGAGCCCTAAGCCTTAAACTTACCTTTGGTTAGTAGGGAATGGAAGAATGGTAGCAATAGTAGTTATACTCCTCCATTCCCGACTTACCAAAGGTAAGTAGACCCAAGTTTCCCGGCGACTGCCGTTTCCGTTGTAATCTCTACACCCTAATCCCGTCAACAGGCTGGGTCTACAAGGATGGCGACCAAGGACCGACTCAAGAAAATAGCGGTGGCTCCAGCACCCGGGGTTGACAGACTACGGTTTCAGAAGGAGTGGGTTGGTGCTTTTGGACTTTTGGATAGCCAGATGCCCTATAGTAGTTCCGTTTTGGGACACCTTATAGCATTCTATATATGAACCCCGAAAAGGAACTACTTCGGGGCCTCTGGGCAATCATCGGTTACAAAGAGGTGTTCTCACGGGGCACGGGGCTGGGGATCTTGGTGTCTTGATTGAGCCTGTAGCTAAGCAAACAAGAGAGGATTCGGGAACCCAAGTTTTGTAAAAGCCCTTGTACAGGAACTTGAGGACAATCACGCACCTACACGCATGCAGAGATTTTGTTTGTAAGGAATGTGCGTCGACATCTGAAACCAGCCATGACCTGGAGAGATGCATTGTATTGTCAGTAGCCTCAAGAACAGGACTATTCTTTAGCCGGTGTAAGAAAGATCGGTTTATGATTTTTGTGCATATGTATCAATGTGTCAACGCATGGATACAGTCATAAGACGTGCGCATAAGTGCATGTGTACATACATATGAATGAATGTGTGTATATGTAAAATTAGTATATGTTTATATACATGTGAACGTATACGTATATGTATATGTATATGTGTACGTAACTGTATGTGCATATGTATATGCAGCTGCATATATATATATATACACACACACACACACATATGTAATCAAACACATACATCCATGTTGCGCATGCACATGCAGCGTATATATATATATACATATATATATATATATAGATAGATATAGATAGCGGGAACAGAACTTGCCATATCCTGCCCAGAACTTGAATTGTTTCGAGGACGGGGATACTACAAGGAGGATACTGGGCAACTCGGTGGTGTTTACGATGCCGGGCTTGGGGATTTTGGAGGTGTCTAAAGTCGTGAGATTTAGACGTTGTGGCTTGAGTTTCCGGTATCAGACTGCTAATAGTCCAAGCTTGAAAATGACCGAGTGTGTGCGGCTACGGCTATGGAGGACAGATCTTTTTTGTGTTGTCAAGGGTTGGCGCACTATTTCCACGGTGTCTCGCACTTTCAACATCTTTCAGTTTGCAAGAAACCCAAGGCCCTGGAACCGCCCCCGCACAAGCCCTAAACCTCATGAATCCTCGCAACTCATGCTGGGCATAATAGGAATGACGGATCATAGTTACCACAGTGATACGTCCGCTCGCCGTCACCATCAGTGTCAACATCACCATTTCCATCACCATGGTCATCCAAGGCGAGCTTCATCTTCATCACGGTTATCACGGGCATGCATCTCTTCATCATGTTCTCTGGTCATGGGTTTCGAAACTAGCCACGATTCAGATCATCTTCGTCATCATCAGGCTTATCACCATCATATTAACAAGCATCACCGACACACTCGTCCTGCCGAGCTTTCAGAAAACCCTGCTTTACAGTTTCCCCGATGGAAGTATAATCGCGAGCGTATCACAGCAACCCCAAGCCCACTAAGCCCACCATCCCCACCGCGATAACCCAAACCCGACATAAGTAGGAGGGAAAGTAACCCGAACCCGACATGAAGTCGAGGGAATGGGTCTAGGTTCTACCCACCGGGCACCCCAAAAGCTACGTTTAGATGCACCTATCCAACGAAATCGTAGGAAGTGCCCTATAACGGCAGGTAATTCAGGGTTCAGGTAGGGGATGAACCCGAAGTGCCAAAGTCCTATGAAAGCAAGCTACGGCCCTAGCCGAGATTCTCCTCTCCGGCCTGGCAAGCTGTTCCTCCAAAGCTTTAAACGAAGAGGGCTAGCCCAGGTTTAGGTTTTCCGGGCTGCTGGACAACGAGGCCTGCTGCAAAGGGCCTTAGGTTTGCCAGAAATTGGTATCAATATCCGCTTGCATGCCCTGTACTTTAAGCAGTCGTCAACAAGCCCCAAAGCCCTACCCTAGTTAATATTTAACCATGACATTCCCTGATGTTCAATGCCTCTAATAGTCTCAAAGCCATGGACTAAAGTTGCCCTCCCGGAGCCAGTACGGACATTGGTCTTGTGCTCTGTTGCAAACAGTAAAGAAGGTCGTCGGGATTTTCAAAGTGAAGCCTTCTCTACCCCATAAAACCCGCAAGCCAAAAGTCCCGCAAGCCCTATTCATCCTATGGGCGTTTCCGAAAATTAGGGGTACATTATTTCGGTGTCCTTATAATGCGGATCCTACTATTTAAGGGACTCTATTAGTACCCCTATTTTCGCCTACAGACCTTGTGCCCCAAAACTCAAAAACTCCCAAACCCAAGGTGCCCGAACTTGGGCTGCTGCGGCGGTGCCAGGGCAACCCGGTTGCCGAAGTGCTGCTCTTGTTTTGTTTAAAGGGAACTCCAGAAAGTTGGAATATGGTTTCAGGGTAGGATACCCTATAATTTACCATAGAAGGGTTAGGATAATCATATTCCAACTTTCTGGCTTTTACGGTAGGTTTCTATATCTGGGCAATACAAGTGGGCTCGAGTGTCTATACGGATTCAGGTCTTCTGTTTAGCGTACTTCGTTTCTGAGGGCTTTAG